AGGGCACACTGCTGGCTCATGCTGAACTTGTTGTCCACCAGCACTCCCAGGTCCTTCTCTGCAGAGCTGCTTTCCAGCAGGTCAACCCCCAGCCTGTCCTGGTGCACGGGATTATTCCTGCCTAGGTGCAGGACCCTGCACTTGCCTTTGTGGAACTTCAGGAGGGTCCTCTCCGCCCAGCTCTCCAGCCTGTCCAGGTCCCTCTGAATGGCAGCACAGTCTTCTGGTGTGTCAGCCACTCCCCCCAGTGTAGTATCATCAGCAAACTTGCTGAGGGTGCCCTCTGTCCCTTCCTCCAGGTCACTGATGAATACATTGAACAAGACTGGACCCAGGACTGACCCCTGGGGGACACCACTAGCTACACGCCTCCCACTAGACTCTGCACCACTGACCACACTCCTCTGTGCTCTGCCATCCAGCCAGTTCTCAGTCCACCTCACCATCCACTCATCCAACCCACACTTCCTGAGTTTACCTACGAGGATGTGATGGGAGACAGTGTCAAAAGCCTTGCTGAACAAAATATTTTCTTCATTTGCAGAACAAGAAAATCTAACATAGAATCAAGTACAACAGCTTCTGAGTGCAATCACCAAGCCACCCAAGTGTGTGAAAGAATTTTACACAGAACTCATGCTCCTGCAAACATAGGTGAAGCTGTAACTGGCTGTAGTTACTTTTGCACTTGCTGTTCTCAAATAATTTTTTTAAATGATTTTATTTACAAAGAGCAAATTGCCTGATTTAAGAAAAATATAATCAATTATTCATCTTTATGGTTAGTGGTTAAAATGGAAATTCAGAAAACAAAGTTAGAACTCAGGCATAAATCTGTTCCATCTTGCTTCCCCTCTATGAAGGGTTCTCTACTCTGATCAGCGACAGGGTTGTAGCATTGGTATCCACGTTTCAGCCTGCATGTAATACTGTGACATTACTTTGAAAGTGAAAGAGGAATTTGCTAAAGCTTTCCTTAAAACAAAAAAAAAACAAACCAACAAAAAAACTACACACACTTTGGAAAATGAGGTGGTTGTTATATGTATTGTGTTACATATGCTGCTCTTCTGCATTTACATTCTCCAGAAATGAAAGAGATTACTGGAAATGGAGAGACAGGCAAACAGGATTTAAAGAAAAAGGGAGAGACAGAGAGAGACTGTATTCTTATCATTAATTTACTTATTCCATGCTATTTTACGAGGCTTTTTTTCCCCACAGAACTATCCTTCAAGATAACGGGAGCTTTTCCTGCCTAAGAAGCACAGAGTTCCTGCAGGAGACATCACTGCAATCTAACAGATTGACCAAGACACCCACTATGACAGCGAGCCTGCTGCAGCAGGACAGGTAAAGCAGAGGGATGGAGGTCAGCGAGCTGAGAGCAACTCACAAGAGCAGGCAAAGAAAGTTGTTAAAACTAAGGCCTATAAGGCTTTTACTGTGTTTACACTGCTGTACCTAGCTTTGTAACTCTGAAAGATAAAATCGTTTTGAAGTTGCTGTTTTTAAATCATTTCAGTTAGCTCGTTAACCAGAGGTACCCATTGTGAAAGGACTTGGAGGTGCAACAGGGACCTGGGATTGCGTTGTGAACACAACTAAAAGGCAGAGGAGAAGGAGGCTGGACCGCTGCAACCAGCCTCAAGGGTGATTGCATGGTGCAGCCCCATTCAAAGCAGGGTGAGAGAAATCTGGACTGTTTTCCAACTGTGCACCGAGGTGATCTAGCAAGAGACTTATTTGGCTTACCTTTAGCCACGGTTTGCCTTGTATTACAAGAAATACATTTTCAACAGGTTGAAAGCCGAAGAAAAGTACAAAACATGAATATGGCTGTTCTATGCTGTAGTGGATTTTCTGTTAAATCACCTCTTGAAAATTACGTTCCAATTTTCCAGTTCCAGTCAAATATATCTATTTATTGTCGCTCCTTAAACTTCACTAAACTATTAGTTCCTTTATGCCAAGTTTCACCCTGAACAGCTTCTCACTGCCAAAGCTTAAACTACTGGAATCAAATTTATGTTTGAAATCACAACTTAAAGTGATCAGTCATTTGCTTCTAACCACTGTCTACAGCTGCACTTCAGGCTGTTTTTTCGAGTAACACTTACTTTATCTATAATACTTTGGGGTCCACTCTGTCTGCTTTCTTTAAGTATATCCCTTTAAGGATCTCAGATTTTAACAGAAAAGTATTTCCCAAGTTTTTCAAATTTTACTGTTGAGGATGGTAACAACAAATGGTAAGCTTCTGGCTGGTGTGTTGTGACAGTCTGCATTATTCAAGGTTGTACTACATGCTAAAAGACAGTAAAAAATAAGAGACACATCATACTGCCTAGGTATGAGAATTTCTCTGTGCCTTCAATTACCTTCAGAAGAGAAAGACTACCAACTTCTACCAACTCCTTAGATTTTCCATACTGGAACCAAGAAGTAGTAAAGTTGCTGTGTTATTTTTAAACTTTGGCTAAAGCAAGTTAGATGTAATAGGGAGGACGCTTATGTTGGAAAGTCTTACGTCACTGAATTTTGGCACAGATAGTAGGCACTGACTTAACAACTGAAGGAGCACCATCAATTTAATTTTTTTTTTCTTTTAATGTGTTTTTCCAGGAGAAAATACAAATATTACTGTCTGGTAACAGCCTGGTTTTCATTAATTCTCTCCAGTGCTTATCACAAGCTGTAAAATCAGATATACTGTATTCTGTCAAATTCAATCATTTGATTGTAGAATACACAGCTTCTTCTCAGACTAGAACAGTAATGTGTAGAGCCAGCTCAAGGCTCCTTCAAAGCACAGGGAATATTTAATTTTGCTTTCCCCCAAAGTGAAAGGCTAGGTCAGGGGTAGTCAGGCTGCGCCAGCAAGGATGAAGGTGAGAAAAAGAGGTAGAGCCTGTGCTGAAAACAGCAGAGCCCACTCCTGCTGCCCCCAGGACACTGGACTCCTGCCTTTGGGAGGCAGCCCCTCCTGGCTGTGGCAGCCTTGCTTCCCAGGGCTCTGGTAGA